GTCAGAGCAGTTACTTTCAAGATTTGTTGAATCACAGAATGATTTAAAAACACAGTGATGATCAACTTTCCCTTCTAAAATTTCTTAAAACTTTTCCTTTTCTCTATTTCAAGATTAGATTTCTGTATCTAGTCAGTATCCTCAAAGAAGCCCTAAAGCCATTCATTTTCATTCTTGATACTCTTTTGAGTCCTCATACTTTTTGAGTAGTCAGCTACTTTCTGAGTAAAGGGTCCCCCATACCTTTAAAGCGAGCATTTCCTCCATTTGGAATCCCTACATCATTATTCCTTCTGGAGCTAAGTCACAGTTTGACGAATCAAGCACTACCTCTTTCATGTAAGAGCATTTGCTGCTTTTGCTATTGCTCACCTAGGAAGGAGACCTTGGATTTCCAGCACACATGGACATAGGCACACTCACCTGTTGCCCCAGCAATGGTCATGGGAAAAGACAAAAGGATCGCAAGGGCTTGTTGGCCAGTCAGCCAGCCTAGGTAAAAAATGACAAACTTTAGGTTCAGTGAGACCCTGTCTCAGTGGAAAGATAGAGAGCTATAGAGAAAAGCATATGACATTCTCCTCTAGTCTCTTCATGTGCACACATATGTGTGCATACCTCCTCCCCTGTGTGCACACACAGCACACTCACCAAAAGTATGGCTAAACATTACCTGGCATTTACTGTAGTATAACCATCAATTTATAGCTGACTTTGTCTTGACATTGAGGTTTTATAACTAATTGAGTGCCCTAATTAATTTCTCAGGATTAAGTGCTAAACTCTTACTCTTTCTCTGTTTTTACTTCAGAGTGAAACTTAATCAAGCAGTCGCAAATTGAGTAAGCTATATTTATTATGCTAGCATGAACAAAATTAAATATCCAGCAAAAGTCCTGTTAAAGAAGCAGTGTCATAATGAAAGAGATGTCTTAATAGAGAGAGTCACTATAGGGTTAAGGAGAAACCTGGTGCTAGGGAAATTCCCAAGAATCCACAAGGATGACCACAGCTAAGACTCTTAACAATAATAGTGAAGAGGATGCCCGAACTGGCCTATCCCTTTAATCAGATTGGTGAATACCCCTACTGTCATCATAGAGCCTTCATCCAGTAATTGATGAAACCAGACGTATAGATCCACAACTAAAAACCAGGCTGAGCTCCAGGAACCCAGTCAATGAGAGAGAGAAGAGAATGTATGAGCAAGGGAAGCCAAGATCTTGAAGGGGAAATCCACAGAGACAGCTGAACCGAGCTCATGTGAATTCATGAACTCTAGACTTACAGCTGTGTAAACTACATGAGACCAAACTCAGCCCTCCTTACAGTTGTGAAGCTTGGGCTATCTGTTGGGCTCCTGGCAGTAAGGCTAGAATCTATCCCTGGTATATGAGCTAGCTTGTGGGAGCCCATTCCCTATGGTGAGAATGGCACCTTAATGGTGGGGAGGGGGTGGGCTTGGTCCTATTCTAACTTAATAATTCAAACTTTGTTGACTCCTCGTGGAAACCCTTACCTATGAGGAGGAGTGGAATGGGGGCTGTGGGAAGGTCGGGGGCAGGAGGAGAACTGAGGTTGGAATGTAAAATGAAACTGAAAAATATGAAGTATAAAAACAGAAGTGCTGGCATATGATCTCAAAGAAATATTACTTTGCCATTTAAAATCTTTAATTTTAAAAGTGCCTAGATGCACAGAAAGGATTTATTATAATATGAACTGAAAGAAAAAAATCAGAACACAATTGTGGAAACATAATGTAACCATGGTGATATGGATTAAAGAGACTATGTAAATGAGAAATGTTTGGAGATGATAAGTACTTTTTGAGGGAACATTCATTATACCTTATTTTTGGGAGATATATGAATATTGGATGTCAATTACTGTAATATAAAGAAATATGAAAAGTTTATTAGACTGTGAACTACTCAAACTTTCCTACAGAAGAAATAACACACAGCTTGTCTATTGCCACAAATATACCTTGTTCCTCACTGAAAACATCTCCTGTGGCTCTAGAAGGGGGCCCTGCCTTCTGACGTCCAAGTGTGTTACATAGGAGCCATTTATTTGACAAATAACCCATAGAACCCATAAAAGCAGCTAAGGAAAGTAACACAAATTCCATTATTCCAGCATATCTTGGTTTTTATCTAATATATATATATATATATATTTATATATGTATATAAATATATATATATATATATTCTTTCTTATTTTACATATCGATCCCAGTTCCCTTTCCCCCCCTCCCATGCCCACAGACAACCCCTCCCATCCCATCCCCCCCACTCGACAGGGAGGGTAATACCTTCCAGGAGGGATCATTAAAATCTGTCAAGTCATTTGGAGTAGGGACTAGGCCCTCCCTCCTGCCTCTATGTTAAGGGAGTGTCCCTCCATGGGGAATGTGCTCCCGAAGTCCTTTTGTTCATCAGGGATACATCCTGGTTCCACTGTCAGAGGTCCCTAAGACTGCCCAGGCCTTCTAACTGAGACCCATGTTCTGGGGGTCTGAGTTGATACCATGCTGGTTTCTTCCATCAGTCTGGGGGTACATTAGCTCTCCCTTGTTCAGGTCAGCTGTCTCTGTGGGTTTCTGTAGCCTGGTCTTAACCTCTTTTCTTATCATTCCTCCCTCTCAGCAACTGGATTCCAGGAGTTTGGCTTAGTGTTTAGCTGTGGGTGTCTGCTTCTGTTTCCATCAGCTACTAGATGAAGGCTCTATAATGGCATATAAGTTAGTTATCAATCTCATTATCAAAGAAGGGTGTTTAAAGTAGCCTTTCCACTGTTGCTCAGATTGCTAGTTGGAATCATATTTGTAGGTCTCTGGACATTTCTCTAGAGTCAGTTTTCAAACCTATAATGGCTCCCTCTATCATGGTATCTATTTTTTTCCCTCTCTCATCTATTCATCCCCGGACTCAATGTTCCTGGTCCCACATGTTCTCCTCCCCTTCTCCTTCTACTAACTCCCTCTCCATTCACTGTCCCCCATCTCAATATGCTCAGGAGGCCTTGTTCCTTTCTTCTATGAGGTAATTTGTATGAATCTCTTAGGTTCCTCTTTGTATCCAAGTTTCTCTGGCGATGTGATCCTTTGTTCTATGTATAAAATCCATATATGAGTGAGAACATACCATGTTCCTCTTTTTGTGACTGGGTTACCTCACTCAGGATGGTTTCTTCAAATTCCATCCATTTACCTGTGAACTTCAAGATTCCATTGTTTTTTTTCTGCTGGGTAGTATTTCATTGTGTAAATGTGCCACATTGGGCTGGAGAGATAGTTCAGCTTTTAAAGGCTAGGCTCACAACCAAAAACGTAAATGTGCCACATTTTCTTTATCCATTCTTCAGTTGAAGGGCATCTACATTGCTTTCAGGTTTTTTCTATTACAAATAATGCTGCTATAAACATAATTGAACAGATGTCTTTGTTGCATGGATGTGGGTCACTTGGATATATACCTAAGAATGGAATTGCCCAGTCCTGTGGTAAATTCATTCCCATTTTCCTGCGGAACCACCATATTGATCTCCAAAATGGCTGTACAAGTTTGCACTCCCACCAACAGTGGAGGGGTTTTCCCCTTTCTCCACATCCTCTCCAGCATAAGCTGTCATTGATGTTTCTGATTTTAGCCATTCTGAAAAACGTAAGATGGTATCTCAGACTTGTTTTGATTTACATTTCCCTGATGGCTAAGATGTTGAGCATTTTCTTAAGTGTCTTTTATGCATTTTGGATTTCTCTATTAAGAATTCTCTATTCAGTTCTGTACCCTACTTTTTAATAGGGTCACTTGGTGACTAGTTTCTTGAGTTCTTTGTGTATTTTGGAGATCAGCCCTTTGTCAGATATAGAATTGGTGAAGATCTTTCCCCAGTCTATGGGATACTATTTGGTCTTGTCGACTGTGTCCTTTGCCTTACAGAAGTTTCTCAGTTTAAGGAGATCCCATTTATTAATTGTAGAACTCAGTGTCTGTGGTACTGGTGTTATATTCAAGCAGTCTCCTATACCATTTTGTTTAATGGTACCACGCACCTTCTCTTCTAAGAGGTTTAGTGTGGCTGGATTTATGATGAGGTCTTTGATACACTTGGACTTAAGCTTCGTGCATGGTGATAGACATGGGTCTATCTGCAGTCTTCTACACACCATCATCCAGTTGTGCTGGCACCATTTGTTGAAGATGCTTTCCTCCTTCCATTGTATAATTTTTGGTGTTTTGTCAACAATCAGGTGTTCATATGTATGTGGGTTAATATCAGGATTTTAGATTTGATTCCATTGGTCTAGCTGTCTATTTTTGTGCCAATGCCAACCTGTTTTCAGGACTGTAGCTCTATAGTATAGCTTGCAGTCAGGGATGGTGATACCTCCTGAAGTTCCTTTATTGTACAGGGTTGTTTTGGCTATCCTGTGTCTTTTGTTTTTCCATATAAAGTTGGGTATTATCCTTTGAAGTTCTGTGAAGAAATAAATTAAAAAAGAAACCAGAAAAAGGAAAAACCTCCCATGCTCTTTGATAGGTGGATAAACATAGTAAAAATGACAATATTGCTAAAAGCAATCTACAGATTCAATGCAATCGCCATCAAAATCCCAGCACAATTCTGTATATAACTTCTTTACATTGTTCGTGTGAACATATATTTTCATAGCTGGTAGTCTAAGGGTTCTTTGCATTTTCCATGTGCTTAACTTTCAAGTTTTCTTTCTTATAAATTCATAATGGCTATCTTAATTGCATCATAAAAGATTTGTTAAGTAAAAATTACCACCACCCCTTGAGTTATTGCAAAGCAAAAACATGAGCATTCTGACCTTGCTTTCTCTGCTGACAGAGAGCTTTATGGCTTTGTACAAAAGACGGCTATACCAAATTGCATTTGAGTAGTAACATGATAACACAAAAAGCAAAGGGGGCTGTGTTTTAGATGACAGCACATCATTTAATATCCACTTATTGCTCCTACAGGGAAATTCAGGCCTGGGATTCAGTATTGCTGGAGGGACAGATAATCCCCACATTGGAGATGACCCTGGCATATTTATTACGAAGATTATTCCGGGAGGTGCTGCAGCAGAGGATGGCAGACTCAGGTAAAAATTGAAAGCATGAAAATGGCTTTGGGAGTTGATCCTTTGCATCAGTGAGTGTCACATTTCTACCTTTGGAGAATGATAGTCTATAAAATTTCTGGACTTGGAAGGTTATCATAGCTTTCTGTAGTGACTCTGTACTTGCTAAATTTCAAGTTTTATTTCATTTGTGCATGTTGATGGCTACCAAATATGACATTGGATCAGACACTGTGGACAGGATTTATAGACATATCTTTGATTCTCGTAGGACTCTCTATCTACTTGGAAAGAACGATACTATGAGTTAATGAGTGATCAATATAGCATCTAGATTCAACACTATATATAGCACTAGGAAACCATGTATTGTTACAGACAAGCATACAGAAGCATTCATTGGGTGTTCTATAGATGCTTAGAGAGTCAGAGAAACTGCCCCGTTGGAAGATTCTAGATCTTAAAATATGATTGGAAAAATGCATTAAGAAAGTGCATAAATCTAAGCTGAACGATGAAGAAAAAACAAATTGTCTGGGAGAATAGAACAAAAGTAGCTTTCTTTGGAAGAAGACTATGTGCTGAGTTCAAGAGGTGGAGTAGAGGCAAGATAGCACCCAGGGATGAGCAGTAGCTGCTGCAGCTAGGCCCTGTTCTGTTATAAACTAGAAATAAGTTGTGTAAATAAGAATCACACACATGGAGCAATTAATAAATAATATAAAATGCAACCAGGAATTAAGAACAACCTCTAAAAGGTACAAAATAAATAAGGGTTCAGAAACTTATGGAAGCTATAGTTTATTTACCACATAATATGTAATAAAGTATAATATATAATTTGACCCAATTTGAGTAAAGATCCTCATAGAAAAAGAAGATTCAATTATGTCAATAGATTTTTTAAAATTATTTTTTAAACAAAATCTCACAATATAGGCAAGGCTACTCTCACACTTGTGGTCCTATTGCCTGAAACTGTCAAATGCCTGAAACTTATGACCACATGCCATTCTACCTGGTTATATCTTTATATCATCTATCATGTAGATATAAGTAGCTTAGTAAATGCTTGCTGAATGGTTGCCTTTGATATTAATAAATGAATAGAGAAGAAGAAAGAGGGAAAATTGACCTGGAGGGTATATAGGGTGTTAAAGAAAGGTCACTTATGATTCTTGTTAAAGATTAGGAAGATTCTTCAAGAAGGGTTGCTAGGGAGCAGATTTTGTACCTGGATGAAACCAGAACAACTGGGACCATTTAGGTAAGGATGGGTGAGACAGCAAGAGATAGAATATTGCTAAGATAAATATCAGCTGTAAGACAAATTCTGGCTAAGGAACAAGGCTCTGGCTGCAGGAAGGCCACAGTAAGAACATATTAAAGGGTAGAATGCAGTATCCAGAGAGAAGTTCTGCCAAATTGATTCAGGCTGATTCTTTCTGAAAATAGACTGAGTGGGCCAAAGCTAGAGCTTCTGGTCAAACCTCTAGGGATAGAGCTAAGAAGAACCTTCCATGGGTTGGGTAAAGAAGTCAGTCTGCCACATAGTTAAGGCAGGTCCTGAAGATATAGATGACATTGGCCAGCATGGCAACATATTGAGGAATGTTTCCCGAGCAGCAGGAATACAAGTGTCACACCCTGACTCAGTCAGCTTTCATTATACATGAATAATCTGTTCTACTATTTTCCCTTTGAAATAGGCAAAGACACTTGTTCCCTATCAGACTGTTCCAACACCATGGTTACATTAGACAGCTACAGGCCTGCAGTTTGGTGAGGAGAGTTGTACTTCGTTTTCAGGTTTATTTGCATGTGGTTTCATGCAGAAGAATTCCATAGGAAACACATGCTTTATAACAATGGAATTTCCAAGTTGAAATGAGTGGTTTTCAGACATGAAATCTCCATATTGAACTGTGGGAGGCTTGAAACACATGTAATTATGACTCTATACATCAAGAGGAGATTGTGTTTGGTAAGGTTGGATCTTAGGCTCCATTTTATGTGTTTAGACATGAGCTGGGTATGCTGACTTATTTCTATAATGCTAACATTTGAGAGCTGGTGCAGGAGAATTGCCATGAATTTAAGGCCAGCCTTAGCTAAAAGGTGATTTCCATGCCCACCATGACTACAACATGAGACATGAGACTCTTCCACAATGAGGGCGGAAGAGGCAAAAAAAGAAAAGAAAAAAAAAAAAAAAAGAAAAGAAAGAAAAAACAAGAAAAGAAAAGAAAAAGAAGCCAAAATAGTTTATGGGAATACTTCAGAAATTCATGGGCCTTTATCAGCATCCTCAACAGTTTACTGTCTGAAACAATAGGATCATTCACTTCCTAGTAAATTCTGCCTCTGTGTTTGAGAAATAGCAGTCCCTGTGTTACCCCCTTGGTCTACAGTTATGAATAGATAACAGCATTTCTGAGAGAACTGCCTCTTGTTGCCCAAAGTCAGGCTATGGAAATCTCATGTCTACATAAATGGGGAGTTTTACTCCTTAAAAACTTAATTCCATAATTAAGTTGCACATAATACTGAAAGGCAACATTTGTAGAAACTTCATTATGCATGGCACATTCTTGTTTAAGTCCTGAGCTACAATATTCTTTATTCTGATCTCTGTTATTAATCCTTATTCTGGTCTCCTAGACTATCACCTTCCAGGGTTTTGCACTGAAAAATCTGAAACTTCTGCCCTAAGCTCCTCCCTGAAACAATAAGATATACCTAGTCCCTAATCTAGAGTATATTCTTTGTCTATATGAGAGAGCTCTTGGGTCTCCCCTTCATTTAGGTAGATCCTACAAATATGCCCAAGGCTACTTCCTCCGGTGTTCTTCACTGATGTAGAGACATCTAGAGTTCAAAGACAACTATCAGGGGAAAATCTGGCTTGTGATTTAAATATAGATTAAGACTGGGGAGGAAACAAAATCCAAGACCCACATTTTATGAATGGGGAAATTGAGTCTAGGAAGAGGGACACCTAAAAGTATAATGTCTTGACTCAAATAATGAACTGTCTGAAGTACTGTCAAGAAACAATAGTACACAAGTTCAAACTAATGCCATATATCATTTTCTCAATGACATGAGCATTGTAGAAAGCTGTCCTGTGACAGGATCCAAGGAGTGCTTTATCTGGCAACTAGATCTGAGGACACTGAGGGGAAGTGCACTATACAAACACTGGGAAGGCATGGTTTCTAGTGTCTTCTTATTACCAGAACTGACTTTGGCAGAGTGAAACTGTCCTCATTGGTGTTTTCTATCTGTCAGTTGGTGACAGTGCTGGCTGTGTCACTCAGGTGAAGTCCAAAGCTATGCCAGGCATGTAATAGGCACTCAATAAATTCTGCCAACACTTCCCTTTTCTCCTTATCTACCTGTGTACATGTCCCTCAGCTCCATTTCACTCCCTGTTTCATTTCCAAATTTCTGGTTCCTATCTTTTTATGTTATCTATTGACCATATGATGGCATGCTATTAAAGGTGACAGAAATGACATCATTTTTCTCCCCTTTTTAATTGAAATTTTAAACAAGCTTGTTTTACATGTCGATCCCAGTTCTCACTCCCTCCCCTCCTTCTCTGCCCCCTAACCCCCTATCCCATCCTCTTTCTGCTCTCCAGGGAGGGTGAGGCCTTCCATGGGGAGTCTGTCATACCATTTGGAGCAGGGCCCAGGCCCTCCCCCGTGTGTCTAGGCTGAGAGAGTATCCCTCTATGTGGAATGGACTCCCAAAGTCCATTCCTATACAAGGGATAAATACTGATCCACTACCAGAGGCCCTTAGACTGTCCAGTCCTCGTAACTGAGACCCACATTCAAGGGGTCTGGGTCAGTCCCATCCTGGTTTCCAAGCTATCAGTCTGGAATCCATGAGGAAATGACATCATTTTAAGCTGCTAGATATCTAATGTTTAGGCGTGATAGAATAGGAATATATAAATGTGCATGTGTTTGTGCATGCAGGGGTGTGTGTGTGTGTGTGTGTGTGTGTGTGTGTGTGTGTGTGTGTGTATGTTATATTTCTGGAAATCCTACAAACATGAGAAACTTTCTTGTGCATACTAAGCTATACCTAAAACAGTGTAGTTGTGCGGGATTAACACATATGTAAACTGAGAAGTAGACTTCTCCTTAGATAAAGTAGACTCCAAACTGAGGTTCAGTTCTATTGGTTCTCCCAGAAAGCAGTACAATATTTAAAATAATAGGACCTAAGTTTCATAGCAGTGTGGCCTTGGTCCCTTTGAAGCCCTCTGTTTTCTGGTTGACTCACTTGACATATGCAGATTTGACATGTGGCCATGTAGCTTAAGAAACGTATGGAGAAGATTGCATGAAGAGTAGATCCATGAAAGCATTGGGTAAAATGTGTGACTCACAATGTAACTCAGTTGTCTGCAGATGCAGCAACTCAGCACAACACTGAACTAGAACTGCAATCCTTCAGAAGCTGAGAATAGACATAGTTCTAGGAAAACACATAGTATGACCACCCTCCCCAACTCAATATCCAGAGCCTTGTACAAATCCTTTGCTTATATCAATAGTAATGGAACAGACATTTCTCAATTCCCCATGCTCACCTATATGCAGTGACAACCAATAGTATATTTTTTGTTTCTTTTCCAGCTATTTTACAGTAAGATGGATAATTGAAGAACTTACTAGTCACTAGTATATTGCCTTCTAGAAGCAATCATTATGATTGCATATCATTCCTTGGCTTTAAAAATAAAAATGTAATGGAGAGGTCATTATTTTTCTTTCAGAGAAAAAGTAGATATATTTCCATCTCCTGAAAATGTGTTTTATTTCTACCCTTGTATCTGAAACATAAAATATCTTCAATGTGGCCCAGTGTTCCTAGATTGCCAATGACCAATTTTGAGATGTCTTCCTAGGGAAGAGCTATCACATGACATCCTTTGCTTGGCCATGCAGCAATGACATTTTACACAATGGTGCATTTATTAAACCTGTCCACAGCATAAAGAC